GTAATATAATAAAACTTATATGACTTGATATCATAATTTCATCGTACAGTCCGAAGAAAAAAAAAATTTGTCATTTTATGCGTATTTTTCCACATTTCAACCGCTGTAACTCAGCCAAACCCCCACCGATTTACCAAATATATATCTTGTTTAAAAGGAAAAATTGTAGTATTCGAAAGAAAAAAAGAATAATATAAATCCGTTATAAAGTAAATAAGTTATTCAATTTTCAAATGAAAATCCATGAAACTACGTTTTTCTCCATATTTACCGTTATAAAATTAATTTTCGAAGTGACCCAGAAAAACCAAAGGTATTTTCGTGATCCAGGGACTCCAACTAAACTGTATTGGTACAATAGAACCCCCGAAAAAAATTTTTTTTATTTTGTAGCACAGTGTTATTTATAAAAGAGTTCATGTCGTTTGCCGATCATTACTAAATATTAAAAACCGGTGAGCGGAGCAGTATAGTCGGACGGGGCCGACCATATGATACCCTACACAACTACCACTGAATTCAAATTTTCTACGGATGTGTATTCTGAGCCTGGGCAATATTTCGTGATATTTGCACACTCTTGCCCGATTAGAGGTAAACAGCACCTCTTCCCCACACTGACATATTTTCCGAATATTACGAGTATTCAGTAAAGTTATTGTCCAGATTCCCTTCACCGTGGGTTGTGTTGTTGTAGATCGACTCGAAAATAACACAAAAAATTAAGTTTTCGGTCCACTTCATTCCAAAATTATTATCTGATCATCACCGAAAATTATAGGCGTTGTCCTTGACCATAACTGGAACCTCATGAAACATTTCAAAGCGATCAGCGCTATGTTCGGCTCTCTAGAGTGATAATGGGTTACTAAATAACATACAAATACGGAGATACCTGTAAATATTTAGGTGTAACTCCCACATCAGAGCACATGCAACAATATAATTGGTCTTAATTAAAAGGTCAACCACTCCTCTTCTGAAGGTCTATGTCCTTCAGGGGTAAATATATACGCTATAGAATACAAATTTTTTCATTTTTCACACAAAAGTCAGGGTCTATTTGACCCGCTAAATATTGACCGATCTTTATCAAAACAGACATGCTTATTCTTTGGCCCGACCCCCTTCTCCATGCAAAATTTCACGATGTTCGGGCCATTATTGCGGCCTGTGGAGCGACCAGAAAAACTGACAAAAATTTAGTATTTGGTCCATTTCATCCCCTAAATATTAATCGATCTTTCCCAAAAACAATAGGGGTCTTCATTGGCTAGAACCCATCCTACATGCAAAATTTCGTGAAGATTGGTCCATTACTGTGGCCTGTATCGTGTTTACAAATTATAATGGACAGACGGACGGACGGACACACATGTCTAGATCGACTCAGCTAGTCGAGATATGACGGTCGGTATACTTAAGGTGGGTCTAGGACCAATATTTCGCGGCGTTACAAACTTTTGGGGCTGCACAAAGCTATAATACCCTGACAACATAGTTGTGTAGGGTATAAAAATATGACCTTGGCACATCTTAAACCATATTTTTAAAAAATCCACTCCTGATATTTTTTGAAAAAAATTTTAACATATTCCTAAAAATCCTCTCTACTATCGAAAAGGCCTTTCCTGTTCTATCATCTATGCAATCACTTCAAGCCACAATTGTTGCATTGATTCCCACACACACATGTTTGAATTTATAAGTTCGCATCCAACATGTTTTGGTGTGGGGTGCATAAACGATAGTGGATATCACATTCATGGACAATTCCTCGAAATAGAACATAGAATATTTATTTCACTATTAGCGTTGTTTTGTGCTGCAACGACTTTCCATTGTTTATAATTGCTGGAAAATTTTATTGTCCAGCAGGAGCTCCTACAACAATTTAACGGTAGTTCAGTTGTGGTGATTAGTATACAACAGTATCATAGTTCAGATTGCAGCATTCAGCTCGTCTATAGAGACTTCAACCTTTAGCTCGTCTATAGAGACTTCAAACTTCAGCTATAGTGACTCCAGCCTTTCCTAGTCTATAATGACTCCCATTCAGCTCGTCTATAAAGACTCCCATTCAGCTCGTCTACAAAAGTCTCCCATTCAGCTCGTCTACAAAAGTCTCCCATTCAGCTCATCTATAAAGACTACCATTCAGCTCGTCTATAAAGACTCCCATTCAGCTCGTCTACAAAAGTCTCCCATTCAGCTCATCTATAAAGACTACCATTCAGCTCGTCTATAAAGACTCCCATTCAGCTCGTCTTATACTATATTGGTACAGGTGTCGCATGATTAATCTAAATACTAATACGCCACCATGGATATTTGGAATTTATTTCCCTTTTAAAGATAAAGGTAAATTCGTAGAGCTTCTCAAATTCGTCTTCTATCGTAAGAGAATTACTACCCTTTACCGTGAGGGTGTTGGTTTTAACTTTCACGTAGCCATGTAGAGTGTGTGACATTTATTGTAATTTATTGCACAAAAATTGGCAAAAGTAGTGGAAATGACTCGCCACACACACACACACACACACAAACACACAGTTTATAGTTGCAGTTGCATACGACTACGCACGATGCAGCATCAATGAAGAGAGGTGTGTGTGTCTGATTTTGTCATCTGGGAGTAGGTGTTTAAATGTGTATGTGTGTGTTTGTGTGATATTTCAAGCTCCGATTGCAACGTTTTTATGAATGAATTTTTATTCCCGCGTGTGTGGGTTTCTAGTGTAAACACTACGAGACGCATACAAATAAGGAGCAAAGCGTAAAACCAAACAAAAAAGTCAATTTACCTAGTAAACTTATTTCATGCAAACATACATACAATATTTGCCTACACACATGTCTGTGCAGTTTTTACATGGATTTTAGAAATGGCGGAATATGGAAATTGCAAATGGATTTTATAAATTTAAAATTAATTACAATATTCAGTATTCTTTAAAAAATCCGCGCTTTGTTAGGTTGTTTAAAAAATATTTTTTATAAAATCCACGCCTTGTTAGGTTGTTTAAAAAATATTTTTTTATAAAATCCACGCCTTGTTAGGTTGTTTAAAAAATATTTTTTATAAAATCCACGCCTTGTTAGGTTGTTGAAAAAAATATTTTTTATAAATCCACGCCTTGTTAGGTCTTTGAAAAAATATTCTTTAAAAATCCACGCATTGTTAGGTCTTTGAAAAAATCTCCTTTAAAAAATCCACGCCTTGTTAGGTCGTCGAAAAAAATATTCTTTAAAAAATCCACGCCTTGTTAGGTCGTTGAAAAAATCTCCTTTAAAAAATCCACTCCTTGTTAGGTCGTTGAAAAAAATCTTCTGTAAAAAATCCACGCCTTGTTAGTTTGTTGAAAAAAAAAATTCTTTAAAAAATCCACGCCTTGTTAGGTCGTGAAAAAATTTTCTTAAAAAATATATCTAAATCTGAACCGATTTTCACGAAACATAGCAGGCGTCATTCTGCACATAATTCAGAACGCTATGCCAAAATTCGTGCAAATCGAATGATTTTCAGGGACTTTGGTGCACCATTTACCTACAATCGGGCGAAACTATATATGGGAGCTATATCTAAATCTTATCCGATTTTCACGAAACTTGGCAGACATCATTCTAGACTTAATTCAATACGTTTTGCCAAATTTCGTGCTAATCGAAAGATATATAGGGACTTTCGTGCATCATTTACTTGAAATCGGATGAAACTATATATGGGAGCTAAATCTAAATTGGACCGATTTTCTCGAAACTTGGCAGATATCATTCTAGGCTCATTTCAATACGTTTTGCCAAATTTCGTGCTAATTGAAAGATATATAGGGACTTTGGTGCACCATTTACATGAAATCGGACGAAACTATATATGGGAGCTATATCTAAATCTGGACCGATTTTCTCGAAACATCACTCTAGGCTCTATTCAGTACGTTATGCCAAATTAGGTGCAAATCAAAAGATATATATGGACTTTGGTCCCATTTACATGAAATCGGAGGAAACTATATATGGGAGCTATATCCAAATCTGGACTGATTTTCACGAAACTTGGCAGACATCATTCTAGGCTCAATTCAGTACGTTATACCAAATTTCGTGCAAATGGACAGATATATAGGGTCTTTGGTGCTCCATTTACCTTAAATCGGACGAGCTATATCTAAATCTGAACCGATTTTTCCCAATTTCAATAAGGTTCGTCCTTGGGCCAAACAAACGAGCTGTGCCAAATTTCATCCAAATCAGATTATAAATGCGACCTGTACTTTGTTTACAATTTAACACCAACAGATGGGCGGACATGTATAAATCGACTCAGAAACTGATTCTATGCATATTCTCAAAAGGAACCATGGGTCTATCTCGTTTCCTTTTGCCTGTTACATACATATGCACAAAGACATAATACCCTGTACCACAGTGTGGTGAAGGGTATAAACAAAAACATGACCTTGGCAGGCCTTAAAATCATATTTTTAAAAACCACGCCTAATATTCCTTGAAAAAAATATTTGAAATATTTTTAAAACTCCATCCATACGTCTATATCGAAAAGGGCTTTCCGAAATGCTCTATCATTTCCTATCACTTCAAGCCACAATTGTTGCATTGATTCCCACACACATGTTTGAATGTATAAGTTCGCATCCAAGAAAAACTAAATATTTGGTCCATTTCCTCCCTTAAATATTAACCGATCTTTACCAAAAACAAAAGGGGTCTTCATTGGCCAGAACCCAACCTACATGTAAAATGTCTAGATCAACTCAGCTAGTCGAGATATGACGATCGGTATACTTAAAGGTGGGTCTAGGACCAATATTTCGCGGCGTTACAAACACTTGGACCTGCACAAAGCTGTAATACCCTGACAACATAGTTGTGTCAGGGTAACCCTTCCAAAAAATAATTTGTATTTGCTGGTGTGGCTTCTATAGATTTTTATTTAAAAATAAAAAATGAAAATTCGTGAAAGTTTTTCTTTCTTTCATTTATGACTCCTCTTCCGTGTGGGACTCCACGCGATATTGCAATACCTCCTCTTCATTGTGTATAACCGTAGCCACAACATGATAGAAACCAGGACGTAAATAATTTTGAAATTTAGATGAATCTATGGGATAATCCATGATTTCATATTTCTCCTTGGTAACAGGACAAACATCTGGATCTGGAGCATTACAATGCTCCTTCAAACTGTCGTAGAAGAATTTCTTATAATGACTTTGCATTACTTCGCATACACCCTTCTCTGGCGTTTTCATTACAGTCTTGTATTCCCCATCCTGTTCCTCGGAATGAGATATATCAAAGGTGACCTGAAAATAAAGAGATGGATATTTATTAATTGGAATATCATATGGTTTGGTAGTTCCAGAACAAAGTAGTTCAAACTATCTATTCCGCAAAAGGAACGATCGGTACTAGATTCAGTTCTATCATTCATCTGATATCTTTTGCTCTTGTTCACGTAGTTCCTTTTGACCCAATCATTCGTCTAGATCTTTCCGTTCATTGACTATGTACCAATGAACGATTGAATTAAATGGAACTATGGAACTAAATGCTTGGCCTAGTTCATTTTCCCCTTCCGTATCTTCAAATATCATCCTTTTGCCATTTCAACTCACCTTATAGTTATCATCGAAATCGACCAACTGCTCCACCACACCATTAACCTTCACCTCATCATCACCCTCAGCTTTTTCAAACCTCAAATCAGTTTTCACCAAATGTTCAGCATCAATGATCTTCTCCAGCTTATCGAGGACAATTTTTAATTTCTTTTTCTCACCATCCGCCTGTATGGGCGGCACCACCAAGGCCTGTAGTAACCAGATACCCAATAAAATATGGATTTTGGAACCCATTACGTTAAAGACAAAGACTAATTCCCAGTAAATGCAACTGACAGTTATTCGCTTTTATAGTTTTGAATATCGGAGAGCATGTTGTTTTGCGAACTTATCTGATTGCATTTTTAACATCGAACGGAAATGTTTTTAAGTAGTGAAATTAATTTGGGGGTAAAATACAATTTTTATTTTATTGTTGTAAATTATTTATAAGTGGGTCGAATGAAATCTGATATTAAATCGATTATAACCTTGATAGAGTTTCGTAATTGAGAAATTATTATTATTATTACATTACATTGTCCCGTATGTTGGACTACCAAGTGTCTACAACTTCGTTTGGGATGTTTTTTAATTAAAAGTGCTATTTTTTATATTTATTCTGAGAACTTTAGAAATATTTCTAACTCAAATTAACTGTAGACTTATATTTAGCTATTTATCGTTTTCATTATTTGGAGGCATAGATCTTGCACAAAGCATCACCTATTCTTGTATTCGCTTCGTTATTCATTTTTTTTTATTTTCTAGCTAAGCAGATGATTGGTATGCTGTATGTATGGGGCTGCCATCTATCGTTGTCTAGAAGCAATGCATCCTGGAATTTTATGCATTGGTTTTTATTGTAAAAGTTTGGCTGTATGTGAAAGTATTTTCCTGAAAATATTGATAGAAGAAATATAAAATATATTAATAAGGAATTGGGATTTGAAGAGGGTAGCCGGAGATATAGCGCTACCTCTAAGTCTAAGTCTATGGACAATTGACTTATGGGCTCGGACAGAAATTTGAATAGATGGTGTGTGTCGAGAGGGCTCTGTTGACGGGAGGGACACCTCTTTAGGATTCTGGAAACAATGCGCTTTTGATACGAATTGAGAACATTGCTGTTCCCGGATCTTAGTTGTGTCAGAATCGAACGGGTTTGCCTAGGATGAAGCTTTACACTATTCGAAATTACAGGAGGATGTTTCCATCTGTACCCATTTATGGCTTCGGTGACCGCCTGTAAATGTACGGATTTCATCACGTTCGCTATCGACGATCTGTTGAAGATAGAGCTGAAGTTCTGACGGATAAGTCGTGGAAGAGGATTATGATGGTTGGGATGACACGACAGATAACATGCCAGCGGAACTGTCTTGTCAACAACACATGATTTTGCTGGCTGACAGCATTCTGTTCTTCTTATGGAGGTGATCGACGATTGTCATCGGAACAACCCCGGTTGCAATTTCAAGTGCATTATTTTGTGTAGTTTGTAATTATCTCCATTGTGAAAGAAAAACGAAAGAAGTCCAGACTGGGGCAGCATAATTAAGGATGTCGTTACCAATGTTTCGTTATCCTTGCCCCAGGTGGTGAAAATGGAAATGCCGTCAGGACCATTAGAGGAATTTTGCCCGAACATACGGGTGGCGGCATAGGACTTATGGGTTCCTCAATAAATTTTGTGAACCCGTGCCAGTTGGCTTTATTATAATTCATGAATGTACGCTGGTCGAGCTCCACGAAATTGCTGGGTTTCTCTACAGTGACCAGGATGGGAATGTGCTCTGCATTTAAAGCGACCTTGGTTTGCCAGGAAACATACAGAGGGAGCGATGGACTGACTATAGTAATGTCCAGAGACCTCGAACACCTGACAGTGACTCTGGTGGAGGATTCCTCATTGATGGAAGCGAAATCGGATCGGGCTATCTGGTTCGCATAAAGAATATCGCGAGAATCGTTTGGAAGTTGAGAAAATCATATCTCATGATGAGCGTTAAAATCGCCAAGAACAATTTTATTATCTCCCTGCAGCAGATGGATTGATGGATGGACGGGCGGAATATTCATATTTAGAATCGTCGGAATGAGCTGAAATCCTCAAAATTTTTAGGAAACGATCAGACACGGAAGGAGACGGCAGGGAAGTCGGATATATCTGGCATCTCGCTGGATATTGTCTCGCCGAATGATGTTGTAATTCCCGGAGGAGGATAGGGAACAACTTCTGGTCAGCTTCGTTTCTTACAAAGCAGCAATGAGTATGTTGGTGTTTTAGATGCAATTGTGGAGGCGGCCGGGTGGAATAATTCGAAACATATGCCTATAACGCAGTCGTCGGGATAGGATTTTATGAGAATCCGATATTGGACTTGAAGGACTAGAAGAATTGCTATTCAGAACACTAGAATGAAAAGCTAGACGGAGTGCTAGTAGTAGAATCGAATAAGAAGCTAGTAGAATATCTAACTTGACTACCAGCATGAAAACTATTAGTAGTACTACTGGATGGAGAAATAGACGGAGTGTTAGCCGTAGTACTGGAATCACTAGAAGGATAACTAGTCGAACTACCAGCATTGGAGTGCTAGTAGTAGAACTGGAGGAAGTAGCAGTACTCGCGAATACAGAGCTAGATGACGTTGAAGGACTCAATTGGATTCTAGCGTATATTGCTGGATTATTAATGCAACAATCGGCTACAAAGCCGGAATACCAATTCCTGTGTGAATACAGGGTGGTACATCTTCTCATATGGCACCAGTTACTGCAACTGTTGCACCTTACCGAACAGTTGAAGTTGGAGTTCTGTGCAGATTCCTTAGAGACCATCGAATTTATCGGGGTGTTGCCAAGGAGCTGGATGTTGTAAACTGCAGACAACAGCTGGCAATAAAACTATGCTACCTTCGTATTTTGAGGTGAGACATGGGCACCTCAAGTGGCACCAATTGCAAACATTCCATCGTACTGAGGTGTAATTAGCAGCGACGCAGTAGATGACACTTAAACCAAAACCAAACATTAGGACCTGGGTTTTGTACAACCCCGGCACGAATTAAAAGAACGGCGAGCAGAGCTGCCGACATGATTTGCTCAGCTGTGAAAAAAAAACTTTAGCTTGGTTCGAAGTACCATTTTAATCGACTGTAAAAATGGAAGAAAAGTCGTCATATTTTCACCCACCCTATAGAATCGAACGATTGTACCCAAATCAATCCTCAACTTTTTATCATCGCTCGTAAGTTTTCGCTTTTTCTTTGTACGTTCCGTTTCCACGATTAATGATGGTCTAGGATGGTAAAGAGGTTTTTGTACTCCAAAGAAAGTTTCAGAGCTACCCATACATTGTTGGTAGACAAAACGTGAAAAACTTACTAGTCCACCTTGCATAATGCCCGATATTGTTGATAAGAATTTCCCGCTGATCAGTACTACAACATCTTTGGCATAATCAACTACTTTCTATCGCAGGTGGCTCAAGTTAACAAAAATTTCGGTTATCACTAAGCCAACCAGGTATGACATTGGACCAACGCGCTAAGCAAAGCGACTACATATCTCCAATCCTGAGATTCGACGATGTAGATGTCGTCATTCCTAGTAGAGACGACTGGAAACGAAGTAACCCTCCTCTGGCCGGTCTGGCCTTCTATACAGACGGATCCAAGATGGAAGAAGGTACTGGAGCAGGCGTCTACTGTGAAAGGTTAGGCGTTGAGTTAACCTACAAGCTGGATTGCAACTGTAGTGTTTTCCAAGCAGAAATCTTCGCGATCTGGAAGGCAGTGGAATTGATAAAAAGTCTGGATGCAGAGGTCGTTGAACCGGTGACTATCTTTGTGGATAGTCAAGCGGCTCTTAAAGCCATCAAATCCTCAAGTGCAGATCAGTTCTGGAAGAACTTACCTATAGCTATCGGTTGTGTTGGGTACCAGGACATTGTGACATCTTGGGAAATGAAAGAGCGGACGAACTAGCTAGACGAGGATCACAATCCACTGATCTAGAAACCGATAACTCAATCAAACCACCCATATGTCTTTTTTATCGGAAATTTGAGGCTTTCGTAGACGAAAGAGCCTGTGAACTTTGGCACAACGAACCTAGGTGCAACGTGTCAAGATCCATTTGGCCGACTCTGTCTACCAAAAGAACGCACTCACTGTTGAACCTGAGCAAAGCTCAAATTAGAATGATGACAGGAGTCATTGCTGGTCATTGCAACATCAGGGCTTTTACTAGCAAATGGGATCTCGATGCAATTGATTACTGCAGACTCTGCGTTGACGAGGAAGAAACAGAGACAATTGAGCATCTCCTGTGTCATTGCCCAGCCGTGGCTTACAGGCGGCACAGGGTGCTCATTTTCTACCGAGTCTTAGCTTCTTCTCAACAACCGAACCTGCTCTAATCTACGGCATGATTAGAAATATAAAGTGGTTAGGAACTTACAACCTTGACATGTAACAAACCTTCTGTCTGATTCCTATAGCCATCGATCTTCATTCATTCCTTCATTTAAATTATGTATGACTCTCAACTCTCCTTTAATCCTTCTCCCGCCTTTTTATTTCCCCAGATTCTTAAAGTGGCCTGTTATGTTATGACTTGCTCCTACTCCTTTATTTCTTCCATCAAATCATCAAATTTTGAAACAAAAATTTTTTTAAGTTTTTCACTGTTAAGCAGCTCATCAGGCAAATTTGGTTTTTCCATAATTTTTATTTTTTTTTTTCTTGAGAGACAGATCCTCACTCAAAATGTCTGTATTTAGCCTCCAAAATGCATCAAACTCGACTTAAATATTCCTTATTACCTTCATACATTCCTTGGCAATACTTGGTTCAGCATGCATCGTTATCAATAGGATTTCCAATGGCATTTTATTGGTTGTTTTCCAGTTAAAAATTAGCTTACTATCATTTATAATATTCTAAATCATCATAGAATAAGTATTGTGTAAATATTTTACATAACAATAGTTATTACTTATGTTTTTGTAGTCAACTCCCTTTAAATTTATTAGCGAAAAATTTCGCACAAAATTTCGTCTCATTCTCCTACTCCCTGTAATTCAGAATACCTAATTTTTCCCCAAAGCGGATTTTTTCGCTTTCGAACTTCATTCAGAATAAGGCGAAAGCGAGAATGCGAAAAAATTCACAGGAAAATGTTGTTCAGAATAAGCCGAAGGGGAAGAGCGAGTAAATTCACATGGAATTGACATCCAGAATAAGGCT